CTAAGGAAGGGAGGTCAATAGCACAGAACCATTTACATGTTGGACTCAGGTTTCAGCCTGACTACTGCACAGACTTCATTCACATTATACAGGAGAAAGGGGCGCAGCCCTAACAGGACGGCTTTGAATGAGGAGCAAGGAACTTTTTTCAAAGCCAGAGATAAAATTCAGAGGCTGGCACGGACATTTATTGGGGGGCGTCTGTACACTTCAACACCAGTTTCTGCCACTGCCTGGGAATCACCGTGCTAGTCACACACTGTAAGAAATCTCACCGGTGAGACAAGAGGTCAGGGGTCATCTGTGACTCTCCCATAGGCAGCAGCCTAGACGGAGGTTCACTAAGCACCATCGGATCCATCGGCCGGAGCCGAGATCCAAGGACCACTGTCTACTAGTCCGGTCTGCCGTCCCAGCCCACAGCTTACGAGAGGAAAGCAGGAGCTCCACACAGCCACTCCCTGACATTCCCATTTATCCACAGGTGGGAATCATGGACGGCACACACCAGGAAACTTTCAACAAGACTTAAGACTGGTACCCGACGATAATTGTTTTTTAGGTGGCGAACGGGTGCACAGACACATTTTTATTAGATAAAAAGAACACCATTTATGAGGCTTAGAACCTCACCTCCCTGTTTTGAGAGAAATCTTCTGCATCTGTGGATGTTATAATGCCCTTGTCTAGCTTGGATTAACACATAGTCTACAGGAACACACCTGATCATCTACATTTGCTCTCTTACAACACTAAACTATGTTTTCTACCTTTATCTTGCATCTACCTACCACTTCAGCATTTTATTAAAAATAAAAATAATAATAATAATAAGGAAATATAGGATCCACATATAAATCAAGTATAAAAATCAAATGAATATTCATATTTGACCTGATTGTTTATAGTTCACAATGCGTGATCAAAACCGAAAGTTTCTGTGATGACTGCCCTTGTACTGTTCACCATGTAAGAACTTATTCACTATGTAAGAATTTGTTCATCATGTAAGAACTTGTTTGTTATGCTTCAGAAGATTGGAGACTGATGAGATTAGGCTTGGGGTGGATTAATGATTGTGCATTGAGCATTGACTCCCCTATACAGAATTTTATTGTTGTTAACAACCATTTGATCAATAAATATGAGAGATGCCCTCTCAAAAAAAAAAAAGAATACCATTTAGACAGGAATAAAAGTGAAGCGAGATCTCCCACCTTGCGGTGATTGGCATGGGGTTCTGTGAAATCGATGAAGTTCGAAGAGAGTTAGGAATGCCCCCTGCCTCACTCAGAGGCCAGGGCGGCCTGGAGAAGTAGGCTGGAAGTCAGGCAGACAGAAAGAGGGACACTCCTCACGGATACCCAGTCGGGCCTTCGGGGTCTGATTCTAGACACGCGGGCCTCTGAGAAGCCGCTGAAGTGCAGCCTCAGCCTAGACTCTCACAGGTGCCCACGGCCTTCCTCAGTCCCTCGCATCCAGGGAGATGCCTCTGAAGGGGAATCCTGGCCTCCACTCAGGTGACTTTCTCGGCTCCCAAGGGAGATGGGGGATCCACTGAGGGAGATGCAGGGGAACCTGGCGCTCGAGACTTTGAGGTCAGCAGCCGGGCTAGTCCCATTTAAGTGGCTGACGAGCGCCCGATGTTATGTGCCACAAACGGCTTCCTTCTATAAGGACAGTGAAAGAAAAGGCAGGCTTGGATGCTGACACTCACCTCCGAAGTTATCCCAGACGAGCCCCCAAAAATGATGCAGCTTCTCACACCACAAGGGTATGAAACTAGAAATAAATGACACAAATAAAACGAAAAAGCACACGATCACATGGAGGTTTAACAACATGCTCTTAAATAACCAATGGATCAATGACGAAATAAAAAGAGAGATCAAGCACTATATGGAGAAAAATGACAACAATTATTCAGCGACGCAAAATCTGTGGGACACAGACAAGGCCATGCTAAGAGGGAAGTATATTGCAATACAGGCCTACCTCAGGAAAGAAGGACAATCCCATATGAACAGCCTAAACTCACAATTATCACAACTAGAAAAAGAGGAACAAATGACGCCCGAAGTCAGCAGGAGGAGGAACATAATAAAGATTAGAGTAGAAATAAGTAAAATCGAGAAGAATAAAACAATACAAAGAATCAGTGAAAGCAGGAGTTGGATCTTCGAGAAAATAAACAAAATAGATAAACCCCTCGCCAGACTAATCAAGAAAAAAAGAGAGTCTGCACACAAACAGAATATGAAATGAAAACACAGAAATCACTATGGACACCACAGAAATACAAAGAATTATTAGAGAATACTATGAAAAATTATATGCTAACAAATTGGACAACTTTCTTAAAAAATACAACCTTCCAAGGCTAACCCAGGCAGAAGAGAAAATCTGAACAGACCAGTAACTAGCAACAAAATTGAAATGGTAATCAAAAAACTACCTAAGAACAAAACACCTGAGCCAGATGGCTTCAACGCTGAATTTTATCAAACATTTAGTGAAGATCTAACAGCCATCCTCCTTAAACTTTTCCAAAAAGTAGAAGAGGAAGGAATACTTCCAAACTCATTCTATGAGACCTGCATCACCCTAATACCAAAAACCAGGCAAAGACACAATAAAAAAAGAAAATTACAGACCAATATCCCTGACGAATATAGATGCAAAAATACTCAACAAAATATTAACAAACTGACTTCAAAAATACATCAGAAAGATCATCCATCACGATCAAGCAGGATTTATTCCAGGGATGCAAGGATGGTACAGTATTAGAAAATCCATCAACATCATCCACCGCATCAGTAAAAAGGAGGACAAAAACCACATGATCATCTCCACAGATGCTGAAAACACATTCAACAAAATTCAACATCCATTCGTGATAAAAACTCTCAACAAAATGGGTACAGAGGGCAAGTACCTCAACATAATAAAAGCCATTTATGACAATTCCACAGCCAACATCATACTTAACAGTGAGAAGCTGAAAGCATTTCCTCTAAGATCGGGAACAAGACAAGGATGCCCACTCTATCTGCTTTTATTCAACACACTACTGAAGGTCCTCGCCACAGCAATCAGACAAAACAGAGAAATACAAGGCATCCAGATTGGTAAAGAGTAAGTCAAACTGTCCCTGTTTGCAGAACACATGATATTGTACATAAAAAGCCATAAAGAATCCACTCCAGAACTACTAGAACTAATCTCTGAATTCAGCAAAGTTGCAGGATACAAAGTTAATGCACAGAAATCTGTTGCATTCCTGTACACTAACAATGAACTAGCAGAAAGAGTAATCAGGAAAACAATTCCATTCACAATTGCATCAAAAAGAATAAAATACCTAGGAATAAACCTAACAAATGAAGTGAAAGGCTGTACCCTGAAAACTACAAGACACTCTAAACAGAAATTAAAGAGGACACTAATAAATGGAAACTCATCCCATGCTCTTGGGTAGGAAGAATTAATATTGTCAAAATAGCCATCCCGCCTGAAGCAATCTACAGATTCAATGCATTCCCTATCAAAATACCAACAGCATTCTTCAACAAACTGGAACAAATAGTTCAAAAATTCATATGCAACTACAACAGACCTAGACTAGAAAGCAATCCTCAGAAGTAAGAATAAAGCAGGGGGAATCGCGCTTCCCAACTTCAAGCTCTACTACAAAGCCACAGTAATCAAGACAATTTGGTGCTGACACAAGAAAAGACCCATAGACCAGGGGAACAGAATTGAGGGTCCAGATATTAACACAAGCATATATGGTCAATTAACATACGATAAAGGAGCCATGGATACACAATGGGGAAATGACAGCCTCTTCAACAGCTGGTGTTGGCAAAACTGGACAGCTACATGTAAGAGAATGAAACTGGATTATTGCCTAACCCCATATAGAAAAGTGAACTCAAAATGTATTAAAGAAAGACCTGAATCTAAGTCATGAAACCATAGTGCTGTTAGGAAAAAACACAGGCAAAAATCTCTTAGACATAAACATGAGGAATTTCTTCATGAACATATCTCCCTGGGCAAGGGAAACAAAAGCAAAAATAAACGAGTGGCACTATATCAAACTAAGAAGCTTCTGTACAGCAAAGGACACTATCAGTAGAGCAAAAAGACATGCTACAGTATGGGAAAATATATTCATAAATGACATATCCGATAAGGGGTTGACATCCAAAATATATAAATAGCTCACGCACCTCAACAAACAAAAAGCAAATAATCCAATTAAAAATTGGGCAGAGTATCTGAACAGACACTTCTTCAAGAATAAATTCAGATGGTCAACAGGCACATGAAAAGATGCTCCACCTCGCTGGTAATAAGGGAAATTCAAATTGAAGCCACAATGAGGTATCACCTCACACCAGTTAGGATGGTCAGTGTCCAAACGACTAGGAACAACAAATGCTGGCGAGGATGTGGAGAAAAGGGAACCCTCCTACACTGCTAGTGGGAATGTAAACTAGTTCAACCATTGTGGAAAGCAATACGGAGGCTCCTCAAAACACTAAAAATAGAAATACCATTTGACCCAGGAATTCCACTGCTAGGAATTTGCCCAAAGAAAACAACTTCTCAGATTCAAAAAGACATGTGCCACCCCTATGTTTACTGCAGCACTATTTACAAGAGCCGAGATATGGAAGCAGCCTAAGTGACCATCAGTAGAGGAATGGATAAAAGAAGAGGTGGTAAATATACAGAATTAAATACTACTCAGCCGTAAGAAAGAAACAAATCCTATCATTTGCAACAACATGGATGGAGCTAGAGGGTATTATGCTAAGTGAAATAAGCCAGGCGGACACAGACAAGTACCAAATGATTTCCCTCATTTGTGAAGTATAACAACAAAGAAAAAATGAAGGAATAAAACAGCAGCAGACTCACAGAACACCCATGCCTGGCGGCCACATCACAACAGACCCCCCCCCGACCCCCACCGGTCCCCTCCTCAGGGGGCCACGCGCACCACTGGCCCGCTCCTCAGAGGACCCCGCGCCAGCGCCCCGTCCTACCTTGAACCAGCGCCTGGAGCAAGTGCAGCTGGAGCGTCCGGAGCGGCCACCACCCGCGCCGCCAGCCTGCGCTCAACTTTGGCCGGGCTCTCGGGCGCCACGGTGCAGCAGAGCGGCCCGTTATCAGGCAGCGGCGGGCCTCCAGGAGCGCGGCGGCGGCGGCGGCGGCGAGGTTGTAAGCAGGGAAATTTCCGGCAGAACGCCTTCGGCGGCCCCGCAGCCAGCGCCAGGGCCGCGCCGCGGCTCCTGAGGAGTCCGCCTGCAGTTGAGCGGACGCCGCTGCCGTCGTCCTCCCCGCCGGGTGCAGGGAAGAAAGTGCGCCCTCCCACGGGCTGCCGAAGCTGCTGATTGGCCGAGGGGAGGAGGCTCGCGGCCCCGCGCCCCGCCCCCACCCCGCGCCTGTTTTCTAACTCGCTGACCCGCCCACTAGCAATTTCGGACAGATCAGCCGGCCCGGGCGGCTTCCTACAACGCCTCGCCCCCTAGGGACGTGCAGCAGGCCCGGGAGGTACTGCGGCCCTTGACCCTTTGGTAACCACAAATCCAAACCTGTAATGGCAGTAGGTACATATCAATAATCACCCTAAATGTAGATGGACTGAATGCACCAACCAAAAGAGACAGAGTTACACAGTGGATAAAAAAGCAATACCCATCTATATGCTGCCTACAAGAGACTACTTCAAACCCAAAGACATACAAAGACCAAAAGTGAAGGGATGGAAAAACATGTTTCATGCAAACAATAGGGAGAAAAAAGCAGGAGATGCAGTACCTTTATCACACAAAATAGACTTCAAAACAAAGAAAGCAACAAGAGACAAAGAAGGACATTTTATAATGATAAAGGGGTCAGTCCAACAAGAGGATACAACCATTTTAAATACCTATGCACCCAACACAAGAGCACCTACATATGTGAAACAAACACTAACAGAATTAAAGGGGGAGATAGAATGCAATGCATTCATTTTAGGAGACGTCAACACACCACTCAAAGGACAGATCAACCAGACAGAAAATAAGTAAGGACACAGAGGCACTGAATGACACCCTAGAACAGATGGATCTAACAGACATCTACAGAACTCTACACTCAAAACTGCAGGATACACATTCTTCTCAAGTGCACATGGAACATTTTCAAGAATACATCGTATCCTAGGCAACAAAAAGAGCCTCCGTAAAAAGATTGGAATTGTAACAAACACCTACTCAGACCACAAAGGTATGAAAGAAGAAGTAAATTATGCAAAGAAAACGAAAAAGCCCACAAACACATGCAGGCTCAACAACATGCTCCTAAACAACCAATGGATCCATGACCAAATAAAAACAGAGAACAAGCAATATATGGAGACAAATGACAACAATAATTCAACACCACAAAAATCTGTGTTGGATGCAGCGAAGGCAAGTATATTGCAATAAAAGCCTACCTCAGGAAAGAAGAACAATCCCATATGAACAGTCTAAACTCACAATTCATGAAACTAAAAAAGAAGAAAAATTTAGGCCCAAAGTCAGAAGGAGGGACATAATAAAGCTTAGAACAGAAAAAGATGTAATAGAGAAAAATAAAACAGTAGAAAGAAATCAATAAAAGCAGGAGTTGGTTCTTCGAGAAAATAAAATAAACTCCTAACCAGACATATCAACAAAAAAGAGAGTCTACACACATAAACAAAATAAAAAATGAGAAATGGAAAATCACTACAGATGCCACAGAAAAAAAAATTATTAGAGAACACTATGAAAAAGTATATGCTAACAAACTGCATATCCTAGAAGAAATGGACAACTTTCTAGAAAAATACAACCTAGCAAGGCTGACCCAGGGAGAAACAGAAAATCTGAACAGTCCAATTACCAGTAATGAAACTGAATTCGTGATCAACAAACTACCTAAGAAAAAAACCCCTGGATTACATGGCTTCACCGCTGAATTTTATCAAATGTGTAGTGAAGACCTAACACCCATCCTGCTTAAAGTTTTCCAAAAAGTAGAAAAGGAGGGACTTATGCTCATTCTATGAGGCCAGCATCACTCCAATGCCAAAACCAGGCAATGACATCACAAAAAAAGAAAAATTACAAGCCAATATCCCTGATGAACATACATGCAAAAATACTCAACAAAATACTCCAAACCAAATTCAAAATACATCAGAAAGATCATCCATCATGATCAAATAGGTTTATTCCAGAATTGCAACAATGGTACAACATTTGAAAATCCATCATCATCATCCACCACATCAACAAAAAGTACAAAAACCACATGATCATCCCCATAGATGTTAAAAAAATATTCAACAAAATTCAACATCCATTTATGATAAAAACTCTCAACAAATTGGTTATAGAGGGCAAGTACCTCAACATATGAAAGCCATATATGACAAACCCACAGCCAACATCATACTTAACAGAGAGAAGCTGAAGGCTTTTCCTTTAAGATCGGGACTAAGACAAGGATGCCCACTCTCCCCACTTTTATTCAACACAGTTCTGGACTTCCAAGCCACAGCAAGAAAACAACACAAATAAATAAAAGGCATCCAGATTGGTAAGGAAGAAGTCAAACTGACACTGTTTGCAGATGACATGATACTGTACATAAAAAAACATAAAGGACCCACTCCAAAACTACTAGATCTAATATCTGAATTCAGCAAACTTGCAGGATACAAAATTAATACATAGAAATCTGTTGCATTCGTATACACGAATGATGAACTAGGAGAAAGAAATCAGGAAATCGATTCCATTCACAATTGCATCAAAAAGAATAAAATGCCTAGGAATAAACCTAAAAAATGAAGTGAAAGTCCTGTACCCTGAAAACTACACGACACTCTAAACAGAAATTAAAGAGGACAGTAATAAATGGAAACTCATCCCATGCTCTTGGGTAGGAAGAATTAATATTGTCAAAATGGCCATCCTGCCTAAAGCAGTCTACAGATTCAATGCATTCCCTATCAAAATACGAACAGCATTCTTCAACGAACTGGAACAAATAGTTCAAAAATTCATATGCAACCACAGCAGACCCAGACTAGCCAAAGCAATCGTCAGAAGGAAGAATAAAGCAGGGGGAATCTCGCTTCCCAACTTCAAGTTCTACTACAAAGCCACAGTAATCAAGACAATTTGGTCCTGACACAAGAAAAGACCCATAGACCAGGGGAACAGAATTGAGAGTCCAGATATTAACACAACCATATATGGTCAATTAATATACGATAAAGGAGCCATGGACATACAATGGGGAAATGACAGCCTCTTCAACAGCTGGTGTAGGCAAAACTGAACAGTTCCATGCAAGAGAATGAAACTGGATTATTGTCTATCCCCATACACAAAAGCAAACTCAAAATGGACCAAAGACCTGAATGTAAGTCATGAAACCATAAAGCTCTTAGAAGATAACATAGGCAAAAATCTCTTCAACATAAACACAAGCAACTTTTTTCTGAATGCATCTCCTCGAGCAAGGGAAACAAAAGCAAAAATGAAAACATGGGACTATATCAAACTTAAAAGCTTCTGTACAGTAAAGGACACCAGCAACAGAACAAAAAGGCATCCTACAGTATGGGAGAATATATTTGTAAATGACCTATCTGACAATGGGTTAACATCCACAATGTATAAAGAACTCACACGCCTCAACACCCAAAAAGCAAATAACTCGATTAAAAAATGGGCAGAGGATATGAACAGTTCTCCCAAGAAGAAATTCAGATGGCCAACAGGGACATGAAAAGATACTCCACATCACTAATAATCAGAGAAATGCAAATAAAACCCACAATGAGATATCACCTAACACCAGTTAGGATGGCCAATATTGAAAAGACTAACCAAAAAATGCTGGTGAGGATGTGGAGAAAGGGGAAACCTTCGACACTGCTGGTGGGAATATAAGCTAATTTAACCATTGTGGAAAGCAATACGGAGGTTCCTCAAAAAACTAAAAATAGAAATACCATTTGACCCAGGAATTCCACTCCTAGGAATTTACCCAAAGAATATAATGTCTCAGGTTCAAAAACACATATACCCCTATGTTTATTGCAGCACTACTTAAGATAGCTAGGCTATGGAAGCAACCTAACTGTCCATGAGTATATGAACAGATAAAGAAGAGGTGGTACATATACACAATGGAATAATACTCAGCCATAAGAAAACAAATCCTACCATGTGCAACCACATGAATGGAGCTGGAGGATATTATGCTTCGTGAAATAACCCAGGGGTAGAAAGACAAGTATCAAATGATTTCCCTCATTTGTGGAGGATAACAACAAAGAAAAACTGAAGGAACAAAACAGCAACAGACTCACAGAATCCAAGAAGGGACTAGAGGTTACCAAAGGGGAGGGACAAGGGGATTCAGGGGTATTATGATTGGTACACATGGGGTGAGGGGGGGGCAGGGGGAAGACTGTGTAGCACAGTGAAGGCAAATAGTTGACCGTGGCATCTTACTACACTGATGGGTAGTGACTGCAATGGGGTATGGGGGGACACGATAACGGGGTGAATTTAGTAACCACATAGTTTTCATGTGAAACCTTCATGAGAGTACATAGCAAGAATACCCTAATAAAATAAATAAGTGAAAGAAAAAATCTTACTTCTTGTCAAAAAGTGAATCTCTGGCATATTACTACACTGATGGACAGTAACTGCAATGGGGTATGGGGAGGACGACTCAATAATATGGGTGAATGTAGTAACCATATTGTTTTTTTAAGTGAAACCCTGATAGGGATGTATATCAGTGATACCTTAATAATAACAGAAAAAGAACCTTACTTCTCAACTTCCTGGGTGTTTAAATGCAATCTCATCTTCAAGATGGGATCTTCCTGCCTTTTACTATGTTGTCTGTGCCTGGGCTTACTTGCCATATTAATTGGTCACGTTATATATTACTTGATTAGGAGCTCGAGGAGGAAAAGCAGCATCTGGGAAAGTTAAAGATAAGCCGGGCCTTTTAGCAGGCTAAAGTAAATTTTACAATAGCCTCATTTAATTGACACCATGAAGACATGGGCCATGCTGAGGTATTTTCCTACCTGGGGGATGTTCACACATTCCAGGTCGAGTTACTCCGGCTTTTCAGTTTTAACTCATCTTCACTGAACAATGCTTATACTCCCACTAGTTTGGTATTTTACTTAGGAGACTTAATGTGACTCTGACTGCGCTCAACTGTTTTGATGTCCGCTGGTCATCTGATCTCCGCTGGTCACCATGTGAGGATGGGACGACGGACCGGAATCGCCGGACCGCTCCAGCACGGGAAGGCCGACTGAAGCATGGACGGAGACCCTGGAGCTCCCTCTCCCGGCGGCGCTCGGGACACTAGTGATTGCTGAATAGAGCGGCGGCGGCGG